AAGGTGGTATGTTTGTATTTATATAGATGTAAAAGGTAATAATAGTTATTAAAATATGGGTAACATTGCAAACAGAAGTTTGTGGCTAAGGATTAAAATGCTACACTTGAAAGACTGTAAGAAGTCTGTTGTTACCTCTATAACTTGATTTACTGAAAGTGAGTAAGATTATTCATAATTAGGTAACATTCTAAGAACCTTCGTCTTCTTGGTTCAATGTGCATTTACATGGAATTCCAGAATAAGTGGAAAGAAATCAGCCTATTATTTTATGGAAGTTATAATATTGGCTATGCTAGATATTGAGAATGCTTCTTTTTTCATAGTGTGATAAGCTTTGGCTATTCATTTTAATCTTTCTCAGATTTTCCATGAAAAATATTTCATTGGCAAAAATATGCCCCACTTCTGCTTTTTGTTTTTTCCAAATCATACAAAGGAATTCCAACAATGTAGAAAGGTGTTTGATATTATGAATCTCATGACTGGTAAGAAGAATTTTCAATATTTTATCAGGAGTTTAGCCATCATTCATGTTTTGTCATTGTACCTCTTTCAACTCCAGGGTGCCAACATTTCTATCTGTAACTCCTAATTAGGCTTTTATTTGTTCTATGGAGTTGTCCTTGGAAATAATAGGAAAAGATTAAAAACTGCAGGTTTTTTAAAAAATAGTTATTATTCATTCCAAAACATGCACTTGTTTTTTGAATCTGAATTTATGAAGATGTATTTCAATACAACAAAAATAACAACAAATCTAGTCATCTTTTTGTAAGTTATTCATCCTCCTGTAATAAATCATCACTACCATCATCAACATCATCATCATCACCACTACCACCACCATCATCATCTGTATAGGAATTATCAAACATACTTGCAATAAGCTTGGCTTATTAAAGATCAAGACGTACAAATTGTAGGTTTACTTTTACAATGTTTTTTTTCTCACAAGGAGCTGGAATGACTATATTCCCCACAATGAGAGCATACTCCAAAATGGAATATTTATTTATTAGATTTCTATCCTGCCTTTATAGTACAGAACTCAAGCCACATGCCCTGTGTTTCTTCCTCCTGTTTTCTTCTGAAAACAATACTATGAAGTAGGGCTGAGAGAGAATGATTGACTGAAACCACACAATGAACTTCTGTGACTGAGGATGGACTAGAGCTCTGATCTCTCTGTTCCTAATTTAACACTACTACATTACACTGTAGTAGTGTAAACTTAAATACATTTAAGTTCATTTTCATTAATAGATTTTCTAACTTTGTTGCTGAAGAGAAAATAGATGAAGATTGTTTTTACATATTTAAAATTAGATTTATAGATCAATAGTTAGCACATACTGAATTAATATGGTCCAATAATAGATTCTCCAGAACAAATGCACCATTTTTTAAAGTTACTTGAATGGACGGAAAGGTTATGATTCAAAATCTGGATCGCTTTTATACTGTAACATCTTCCCTACCCAAATTATATGGCTTGTTTTGTTTTATATGGTTACAACATTTCAGGTATTGCAAGTTGTATTAGTGATCTTTGATTCTAACAAAAACTATTATTTCCTTTGATATTCTAGACCTATGAAATCTTGTATTTGAAATAATTGTACTATTGCCTCTTTTGAAATTCCATGTTTTTAAAAGATTTGGAGGAATCAATCTAAGCTCCTAAGCCACAAATTATTCCTAAATCAAAAGAGAAAGGAAATTATTGAACTGTTTATCCAATCTTGAAGTCCAACATGTTCATCAAAGGCTGAATAAAAGAATGTGAAAATGTGGTTTTAAAGTTAAAAACATAAGGTAATAAACAAAATTCTATTCTGAATATATTGGATAATTCAGAAAATGTTTACTAAGGCATGGTTGCAATCAACCATGTTCAGTATACTATGTCCACAGTACAGTATTTTCCTCATCCACTAATTTAGTCATTTTGTCAAAGAATATAATGTTTGTATTTTTACAAACCTCATGTTGGTTTCTAGTAATAGCTTTGCTTGTTTGCAGGTGATCACAGAACCGCTATCTTATCTTTTTCAGGATCTTCCCATATATTGCTGTCAGGTTGTACATCTATAGTTTCCTGGATCCATTTTTTTCCCTTTCTAAAGATTGGAACCACATTAGCATTTCCCCATTCCTCTGGTAGTTCCCTGGTGCTCCAGGATTTTTGAAAGAAATGGTTCATTGGTTCCGAGACCATCTCTATCAGCTACTTCAGAATGCTGAGAAATAATCCATCTGATCCTGGTGATTTGAACTAGTTTCCTGGATCCATTTTTTCCCTTTCTAAAGATTGGAACCACATTAGCATTTCCCCATTCCTCTGGTAGTTCCCTGGTGCTCCAGGATTTTTGAAAGAAATGGTTCATTGGTTCCGAGACCATCTCTATCAGCTACTTCAGAATGCTGAGATATAATCCATCTGATCCTGGTGATTTGAACTTGTCTAAAATAAATAGATGTTTTGTTACGATTTTCTATTATGACTTGTATTCTTATTCTGTATTTTACTGTACTGCTTTCTCTTTATGAGTCAAGACAGTTACAAAGAATGAATTATACAATTTTGATTTCTCCCTATCAGTCCCTCCTTATCATCTTCTCCCATGATCATTTCCTTGACTTTTTTCGATTTTTATATGTTGAAAATTATTTTTGGTATTTGTTGCAACTCCTAGTTTATTCTGAGCCTTAGCTTTCCTAACTTTATCTTTGCAGATTTGGGCTACTTGCTGATATTCTTTTTTAGTTATGTGTCCTTCTTTCTATTTTTTATATTTACCCCTTTTGTCTCTCAATTTATTAGAAAGATCCTTATGTAACCATACTGGTTTTGTCTGGGGGCTCTTGTTTACAGTATACTTATCCTTTTTTGTCTTATTTTTCTTTTACAGAAGAGAGTTATGTTTGAATGTCTTCAAATTATATTAGGAAAAGTAAATTATAAAATGACTTGCAAATTGCTAAAAACCAAAAAATCCTTTTTAGTTGCTTGCAATTTGTAATAATTTTTTGCAAGTAATTGAAGTTTTGAGATTTTAAAATAAGGATAAAGCAGATTCCGTATGATTCTTCATTAGCAAGATATTAAAATTGGGTTGTATGATACTGCTGTTAAGCAAACCATATTCAAAAAGTGCTATTAAGTCTATTACAATACTTAATAAAGTGCTCCATTTTATAAGGTAATATTTGAGATAATTGCTAGAGACATATGCTAAACCAATTATAAAAGAGATATCTATTTTCTATCCAAGACTTTTGAAAAATTCTGATTTGGGGGAAAATGGATTGTAACGCCTAAAATGAATTTGAATGATTGCTATTCTAAATATTTCTAACCAGAAGTGAATATACAGATTAATCTTTACAAACTAAATTAAAGTTTGACATTGGCCGATGAAGAAAGCTTACATCCAGTCTTCCTTCAGCTGATAGTTGGGCTAACAGCATGGCTGCAGCAGTAATAATCATTAAAGACAAGAAACTCAAGTCATAGGCACCATTGTGTCATATAGCATCGAACCACAGTATATGCAAGTGAAAATTATTTTTGACCACATACCACACTTAAAAGTAATTATCAATTATAATAGCATGTTATAAAGAAAATATGAATACATATGTGGTATTGTACAGTGCATGAACACATTTTAATTGAGCTCCAGTAATCAAATAATATTCAACTAAAATTGAACATCCCCAAAAGGAAACATTTAAACAGATGCAAATGATGTCAACTAAACTCACAAAAGGATATAACATGGCTCCTTCCTTCCTTCCTTCCCTCCCTCCCTCCCTCAATTTAATTAAAGTTATATTTACCAAAAGTAGTTCTTTTCTGTATTTTTCTTTGCCCATGAAGCTACATATCTTTCAAACATTCTTGAAACAAAAACCAAACTATTTTGTTTACATATACACTCTAACATTTTTTTTATTTAACAGCTATATGGTACCTAACAAAAATTTAGTACAAATAATTTAAATGTAATACAAATTAAAATTTAGGCAAAGGAAACTTTGAACATATATACCCAGATTTCCCTTTATGCCACCCAGTTTGTTCTAAAAGAACTTTCTACTTTCAAAAGCACTTTTATTATTTTCCAGAATTTCAGAAGGATTTTGTTATGCAAAATGCATGCCTCCAGTCAATATAGTGTCACTTACAAGTCTTCCATAATAAACAAGGATTATCAATTCATTCTCTGGATCAAGACACACAGAAGATACTGCTTTTCTGAATACAATCATGGCAAAATCAATTATTTTTAATTTCTGAATTATCATAATCTACTGAATCAGCAGATCTTATGTGGACCTGGAAGATTAATCAAATCAAATTATTATAACCATTATGCTAGAAAACCTGAAGGATTTTAAAGCAATAATCCATCCTGTTATGAGCGATATATATTGAATGATAAGCTCTTGAAATTCCACATTGGATTTGAATGAAGTATTTTTCAAACTGGGAGAAGGATAGTAAAGAGATGAGAAGCCAATGGAATATCAGAACATAGAAAAATATGGCTAGAAGAGATCTTGGAGGTCTTCTATTCCAATTCTGTTAAACTGTGTAATTTCAGCCAGACTGCATGAGATTGTTAATATGCAACAGAATGTACTAAAAGCTGAATCAAATCAAAGGCCTATTTAGTTTAGCATTTAATTTCTCAAAGGTCAATATTAACATAACATTATATCCTTTTGGGGCTTCGAAGCAATTCAAAGGAATACTGCTTCGAAGCCATTCAAAGGAATACTGGGCTTCGAAGCCATTCAAAGGAATACTGCCTCTAATTCTAGAGTATCCATTTATAGCCCCTTTTCACCATGATTTTAAATTCAATCTAATTTCTAAAATATTAGATTTCTAATTTCTAAGCATATATTTCAACAACAATAATCACATTGTCATAAAATTGAACACCATATAGTCAATAAAAAGTATCTGCCATAATTACAAGACTTACCTTCTAGAATTTGTGATGTTATGCAAGAAGTCATACAAGCTGATGGTTTCTCATGTGAATCTATTAAACCTGGGCCGGCACACTTAGGAATGGTAACAGTTGGGACTGAAGAACCACCCAAATTCAAGGATAAATCACTCCTGTCCCAACATAAATTTCGATTTCTCAGCTCCTTTTCATATTCTTCAGCTGCCAATTTTTCCAAGTGTTTATATCTGAAAATTAAATTCCAAAGGGATTCCGTAAAAAAGAAAAAAGTTCAGCTTACACTTGTTTATAAATGAATCAGCCATAAAAATATATATTACTTCTTGACACATGAAATAAAAGCAAAACAGGCTGCTGGATTAATCTTCCAGGGGTGTGGGGAGATGGGGGGAAGATGTGGAAACAAACAAACAAACAATAATAGAATGTTGCATCAGAATTGTTTATATTGCCTCCCAAAATAATTTAAATGAAAAAAAAATCAGAAAAATGCTTTCCAAATTTCTAGCTCCAGTTTTGCTAAAGAGAGAGGGTGGAAAAAGCTTACTGCTCAGAGAAGAAAGCCTTAAAGAATGCAACTTATAAATGTTTGGACTAAAAACAGTCTGAGTGTCTGAACCTGTGATTATTTGTTCTAAGTTCAGTACACTGGAATCACTTCAGTGCCTACAATGGAAATTTTTAAAAAACATTAAAAGATTTCTCTGCCAGACTGAAGATATCCAATAACTTGGATATGATGTCACATATAGTTTATTCATCAAAGTCATTTGAAAAGAACAAAGATACATCTGTTTTGCATTTTCGGCAGGCAAGATTCATTAACTATTTATTAGGACCAGTTACCAATCATATTATTTTATATGTTGTGGCCAAAATTATTTGGAAAATGTGCCTCTTCCAGATGTCCACTAATTTATCAAATTATTTGAACATGGAGTACATACATGAATACATATATGAAAGTAGATTACTGATTTTACCTTACTCAGTCATCAACTTCTAAAACAGCCAAATCAAAATTTAATTGTAGATAATTGAGTGCTAGCCCTGAGGTAGTTTCTGGCAGTCTCTCTATGTCAGTGTTTCTCAACCTTGACAATTTTAAGGCATGTGGACTTCAACTCCCAGAATTCCACAGCCAGCATTGCTGGCTGTGGAATTCTGGGAGTTGAAGTCCACATGCCTTAAAATTGTCAAGGTTGAGAAACACTGCTATATGTAAACAGAATCAGTTTTAAAGTTCTCAATGGAACTACATCTACATGGAAGGAAGGAAGCAATGGGGTATCCCAAGGTTCTGTTTTAGGCCCAACATTTTCATAAATAATTTAGATGAGAGATTTAGAAGGGGAACTCATTAAATTTGCAGACAACACCAAGCTGGCAGGACTAGACAATACCCCAAAATATAAGCTCAAGATCATGTCATCTTGTCTTAGAAAAGAAAAACTAGGATCACAAGTACAGATTAGGTGAAATGGGCTCAACAGTAGTAACTGTGAGAGAGATCTTGGAGTCCTAGTGGACAATCACTTAAATATGAACCAACAGCGTGCCAAAAAAGCCAATGCAACACTAGGCTGCATTAATAGAGAGATAGAATCAAGATCACATGAAGTATTAGTATCACTTTACAAAGCCTTAATATGTCCAAACTTGGAATACTGCATTCAGTTTTGGTCACCACAGTATAAAAAAGATGCTGAAATTTTGGAAAGAGTGCAGAGAAGAACAACAAAAATGATTAGGGGGCTGGAGGCTAAAACATGAACAGTTGCAGGAATTGGGTATGCCTAGTCTAGTGAAAAGGCTAGGGGAGATATGATAGCGATGTTCCAACATTTGAGGGGCTGCCTCAAAGATGAGGGGGTCAAATTATTTTCCAAAGTAGATGAAGGCAAGACAAGTAATGGATGGAAACTAATCAAGGAGAGAAGCCATCGAGAACTAAGGAGAAATTTTCTAACGCTGAGCACAATCAACCAGTGGAATGGTTTGCCTTCAGAAGTTGTAGGTGCCCCAACATGGAGGATTTCAAGAAGACACCAGACAATCACTTGTCTGAAATAGTACAGAGTCTCCTGTTCAAGCAGGGGGTTGTATCAGATAACTTTCAAGGTCCCTTCCAACTCTGTCATTCCATTCCATTCCAAACTAATTTCCCACATGCCAGGCAATGTATGCGATTTCCAATGTCTCATTGCTATAAACCTGTCAAACTAACATGCAAATGGCAAAATAAAGACATTTTTCTATGCAATAATAGTGTTTTCTAAAATTCTGATAACTAATGGACATTTTCCCTTCAAATTAGATGCCTACTTCACTTTTTATTCTGAAAGAGCTTAACTTTATAAATTGCACTTTTCTTACAAGAGCCTAGCTCTGTTTTTGTATCACAATGTCATTTTCCAAGACAATATAGGCAAATCATGCAAAAATGCAATGGGAAAGTTTTTCTAGTAGTGAAACTCTATGTGAGAAATGAGAGAATAAAAAGGGATATCCAACATACTGTATTTGCGCTAGTATATTTATCCTTGGCAGGAATTGAAGACAAATTAATGAATCCTACATACACATATCATGCAGATTTTCTGTTAGATGGTTCATGGCACTCGAAGCATTAATTTAAAATTAAACAAAATTCAGAAATTATAGTGCTATTACTTTCATACACACAAACAATAAACAATCTTAAGTAACAAGATACGCAACAGATATGCAATAGTTTTGGGGTGAAGAAAGGGTTCTCTGTGAAACGGAACATAAAAAAATTAAGATCCAAATGCAAAATGGATAAGTCTGTCCTTGAAAAATAATAATGATCTTGATTTAATTTTATAATGAACATAAAAATGAGATAAACTCCTTCATGTGCTATCAACATAGAGAATGTATCATCACAAGAATATAATGAGTTGCCAGCTAATAGTAGGAATACCAATCCGATTTGAAAACTTCCAGCTAGAAAGTGTGCACTGTTATTCAAGGCGACCCAATTTCACTACTTAAACACCCTTTCCATTAGAAGCTTCCTCCTAGGTTTTAGCTTGAATCAGAGTTAATTTCAGTTGGTTGGTCCTTCTGTTCTGGGCTTTAACAGAAAATAATTTTCTCATGCTCATGATATCTTTTTAGATATTAGGCTAATAATCTCATTTACCAACTACATGTCTTGCTCTTTTAACCATTCCACATATTCTTTTTTGATCCAATTCCAAGTTCTTGTGCCTAGAAATAGAAATAATATTTTTAAATTCAATCTATCTGTGCTATTTTTCTTAAAGGAAAGATGAAAGCTGGGAACTTATCTTGTAACACATCAGTTTATCATTTAAAACTAAAAGAATCCGAATCAAATCTGCTATGGAGTGTGGGCAGGTGTGCAAGTGGGTGGATGGCTGAAAAAGTGGGAACAAGAGCAATTTACTACTCCTTGTTGGCTTCCCCATTGATGTTGCAATCACATGACTGTGGAATGCTGCAACCATCATAATTGTGATTCAGTTGCTAAGTGCCCAAATTGCAACCATATGACTGTTGGAATGCTGTGAGATTCACAATCTTGCGGACCAGTTATATGTCCCACTTATTCAGCACCCTCATAACTTTCAATCTTCACTGTAACCAGAGATCTACCTGTAAGTTAATATCTCTATATCTGTCAGATCCCCTTTTGGGTGTTCTGTCATTCTGTTGGAGGGGGAGGGAGAGATGGACTCTTAGCTGGTTCCAGCCAGTTCCAAGGTTGCTGTGCCCGGAGGATGACCTGTTATAAAACCTTTACTTCAGGGTTCTCAAAACAACCTTGCGGTACTGTATTGGCTTCTGGTGGACTGGTCAGGGAGGTTGGGTTTGGAATGGGAAGAACTGTTTTGTGCTTTGTGCGGGACCATTAGATTCCGCATGTCTTTACTGCAACCACTTTCTCTCAGGAAAAGTTCTTTTGATTAATTATATGGAGTCAAGAGTTGTGCTTTCCTGAGAGGATCAGCTGGGCAGATCCTTTCATTAGGTGGAATCTGCAAAGTCAACATGGAGAGGCACCTAGCCCTACCGTGGGGACCATGCAAGGAATGTCTGCACAAGGCAATGACCAGGAGGATGTGGAATGCTGGGGGGAAGCCTCTGTCAGGACTCACCCTGGAATGGACCCATCTAAATGGATGGAGGCAGCTGCAGGCCTGGAGGATTCAATAAAACCCAGATGGTCCATTGACATTGTGAAGAAATATGACTAGAAAGGGAGAACCAAAGGGTAACCCTCACCTGAGGCAGCCGAGGTATGAATGTCAAGTGCAGCTGTAAGAGCTTGAAGATAAGGAAGGGAAAGGTGGTCAGGCTCACCACGGCAATCTCCTCATGAAGCAAGCCATGACTTCATGATGGATGCATTCCAAAACCTTAAGGCATGCAAGACCTTAGCTAGGATGACTGTTGGTGACACCCGCCAAACCTGATAGGAAACCCTCTATGACTGGTGTGTACTGGCTGAGGAAGTAGAGATTGTCCAAGCCCAGAACAAGTACCGCGCGGCAAAGTCATGGAAAAGATCGCCTCCGGAGAAAAGGGAAGCAACTAAACCCCAGGCTTCACAAATCTGATCCACAGCCTGCTTTAAATGTGGCCAGGAAGAATGTAAGACTGGCTGTCCAGCCAAGAAGGCAAGCCCAAACCCTGCAGGGGAAAACCACCAAGGCACAGCCACGGGCCAGAGAAAAGTGTTGAAAGGAGTGGAGGTCAAGGAGTTCATCACCAAAAAAGGCTGAGGGAACTCCAACCCCACCAGACGACGGCCAGGGGTTGATGTACACTAACTCCGACAACGACCCCCTGGTAAGTGGCTTGGAATGATCATTCCCATAGAACTGAGCTTCCCTGGGTCAGGGCTAAAAGCCAATTTAAGGGCCCTATTAGACTTGGGCTGCACCAGGTGCTTGATAAACCCAGCACTGGTCGAGCAACTGGGACTCCAACTGAGAAAGCTAAAAGTCCCGATCGCATTCTGCCAACTATATGGGTCTGTTGCAGAGGGCATCCCAGCAACGTTTGCCACCAAGCCCATAGGGATGCAGA